GTGGAGAATTAAATTTAGATTCTTTCTTAAACCTATCCTGTCCTTTGTGATTTTTCTGGATATTATCATCACTGGAACATTTATCAAATTAAACTTTTTCTTGGGGGGCATTTATATTTAATGATGTACAAAAATAGCTTCACAGATTTGTAATTTACTTTTTAAGTCTGGCAATTTTGAAGATGTACCAAAAATAATTGCCCATTAGACATTGTTTTGGCAGAAAGATGAAGGACCAGTCCACACCTTAGTACTTTATCAAATTTATTTCAATAGAAGATGCTTGTTAGGGGCGCCTGGGTGACTCAGTCATTAAGCATCTGCCTTCAGCTCAGGTCATGATCCCAGGGTCCTGGGATCGAGCCCCGCATCGGGCTCCCTGCTCAGCGGGACGCCTGCTTCTCCCTCTCCCACTCCCCCTGCTTGTGTTCCCCCTCTCGCTGTGTCTCTCTCTGTCAAATAAATAAAATCTTAAAAAAAAAAAAAAAAAAGATGCTTGTTACAGGAGGGAGGCATTGTAGAAGGTTTTGCTGTCCGAGTGTGTTAGCAAGGAAACCAGAAATGTCGGAGGTGGGCAGGAGGGCCCAGCGGTGGGGAGGGGTCCTGGCGAGATGATCCCGTGTGCCATGAAGAGCCACTGCGGTACTTCAGTGGAAGAGAGTAATACAGTTTAAATAGTATTGGATGGACGCAGCCATGGTCGTGATGTTCAGAGCAGGCTGGCCAGGGCAGTGGTGGTGGCTACAGGTTGGTTGAGGAGTAGATGGCGTTCATCTGGTGTGAGGTGGCGAGCATCTCGATTCAGGAAGTTGCAGTAGGATGAGAGAGCATGCAGAAACGAGTGTTCTGGGAGGCAGTCCAACTTAAGGTATTTGGGAATGAAAACCTTTAGTGTGTCCTGGTGTTTGGGCCCAGCTCTGCTATTTGAGGGCTTGAAATAGAACAAAAAGTTACGGAGTCCATGCCACCTCCAAGTTTGAGAAGCACCTGACTTACAGGTAGAACTTTGCAGCGGAGGGTAGGGAAATGTAACTGTCGTTCAGAACTTTATTATCCATTTTCTCTCTCTTTTTTTTTTTAAGATTTTATTTATTTGAGAGAATGAGAGAGAGAGCACGAGAGGGGGGAGGGTCAGAGGGAGAAGCAGGCTCCCCGCTGAGCAGGGAGCCCGACGTGGGACTCGATCCCAGGACTCCAGGATCATGACCTGAGCCGAAGGCAGTCGCTTAACCAACTGAGCCACCCATTATCCATTTTCTCCATTAGCAACATTGTCTTACTCTGTTTTTAGGGTCATTACAATCATCACCAAGCCTCTCAAATAACATCTTCATATGAAAAGTCCATTAAATTAATTGACTGACTGAAAAAGATAAAATTGCCCTTTAGAAGGTTCTTTTGTTTTATGCTCTATGAGAATGCTTCCTGGGGGGCATCTGGCTGGCTCGCTCAGTAGAGCATGTGACTCTTGATCTTGGGGTCATGAGTTCAAGCGCCACAACACCCATAAAAATGCCTCCTGTTAGAATTCGTATAATCCTTCGGCTACATAGTGAAGAAGTAGGATGTAATGGCTTCCGCTCTTTTCCCTTCTCCTCCGCCACAGCCTTGGGCGCTGGTCTAACGTTGTTGTTTTGTTAGCTTGCCCCCATGATAATTCTCCTCCCTCTTCTTAAAAACCTCCATGCTAAAGGACAATGTAGAGCATTCTTTCTTGCAATAGATGCTAATTGTGTTCTTAGTCTGGATCTTGCTGTCATAGCCACAATCACTGTGCCATTGTGCTGGGAGGCTGGGTCACAGTAGTTACTGTGCCGAGCGATGAATGCTGTTTACTTGGGATGCGTTGTCGCCTGCATCTGTGGGTGAGAACACGCAGTTACTGTAATTTGCCTGGCAAGTGATCAAACATCATCTGTTAAGTCAGCCATCACAAAGAGCTATTGATCTTTTTTTTTTAATATAGAATTTTAATGAGAAACTTTGAGTCCTAGAGTTTGAAGGTGTGAGAGCAGCTACCTCTCACATTAACCCCAATCTTTCAGTGTATTTGGGGATCAGGTTTACATATCTAGAAGTTCTGGGACTGGGAATGCCAGCCCCGCGGGTCTCCGCTCTGGCTCAGCTTGAGAAGAGCTGCTTAACCACACGTAGTTACATACTGGGTAAGTGAGGTGACTGATGTGAGTTAGGAACCAGGCTTCGCTGCGGCAGTGGCCCCTTGCAGACACTTGTGAGTTCCGAAAGAGGGGTCATTGTGAATGCAGTTTCTTTGCCTAGCTCTTTCACCTACAAAAGGAAAAGGTATTTTTTTTTGGAATGGGATGGTACTTCTCTCAAGAACTCTTGCTTGAAATAAGAGGAAACGTTTTGCTCTTTTAAATAACCTTGGTGATATTTGCAAGGATGTTAAGAATCCCAGTTTTGGAGCCAGTTATTTTCTTGACCCCCCGCATCCCATGGTGTCTCTCTCTTCACCCCCTGCCCATTTTTAAACACTTTTCAGTTGTCCCACTGACTGCGCATTAGCAGTGCTCATTAAAAGTGATCTGGGCCATGCATGTCACAGTGGCCCTTTGTATACTTGCTCCTCCAGGTTTTGTCACATTTCCAGCAAATACAGACCCAGTTATTGCTTTAAGTGAGGTTTAACCTCATCTATATTTCTTAGGTGTTCCCTCCTGTCCTGCTTATTAGTACATGTCGAAATGATTGCTTTTCAGAAAAATGGATTTTCTTAGCACAGTAATTTGCATCCCTTGAAGGGAGAGTACGTGGTATTTGGTGTAACTTAAGTTTTTACAGTTTGAGGTCCTTTTTCATGATCTCAAGAACTGAGAAATAGCAGGGGTTGGCAGTTTGGGAGGAGGGAAATACATTAATTAGGCCAGGTGAAATAATGTAAGAATTAGATCATTTGCCCATTATAGGTAATATTCCTTTTTGTTCCTTATTTTAAAGGATTAAAGTAATAGTATGTGTCATCCTACCTTTAAATGTTACACAAGTAACACATGTTCCATACAGAAAATTTGGAAGATATTTTTTATAAAAAAAATACCCAGCAAATCACCAGTTAATCTCTACACCTGCCATCACAAATAGCTGTCATTAAATTTTGTAAGCTTCTCCTGTGGTTCTGGTATTGTTTTTCCATAAGGCTTGTTTTGAACTCAGGGCGGCCGTTCAGAAAGGCAGTCGTCCCGTTAAGTTTGCCCTGTAAGCCAAGAGCAGGTTTCCATGAAAATTTTTTGACCAACATTTTCTGATACTAAATGGGTTGAAAATTAATCTTAGGAAGAAAAAATATAGGACTGTGTATAGTTAATACTAACATTCCCCACAATTTCTGATTTTGAGGTTTTTTTGGACACTCACCTGTTATATTACTACAAAACACTTAAGTCCTTGTGCAGAAATACAGAGTAGGAAAAAAACATTTCCAGTGTAGAAACTCAAAACAAGGTTTCCTTATTACCCAGGCACATTGACTTTAATCAAGCTGATTACTAATTCTTGAGGTATCAACAGGAATTCACAAATGGCCTGTTTTTACATATTTCCGCCTTAGATAAATGGAAGTCATTTAAGATATCTTTATGAAACGTTGCTTTGTCTTTTCATTTTTTTTTTAACCTCTGCCCTTTCTCCCTCTGACCAGTCAGCACATGCTCCCGGGTAGCTAACTGCTGTTGTTTATTTTCTGCTTCTGTGACAGTGAGCCGATGGCGGAGTCTCTTCTCTTCAAATGTCTCACTGGCTTTTCCTTACAGTCCTGTTGCAAGACTCAGCCCATATAGCAATGGCATTAATACTCCCAGCTTCTCTAAAACCTCAAATAAAGCAATACTAACACCTGAGAGAACAGGTAATCTTTCAACTTCTTGACTAGCTGCTTGCGTTGTCAGTAAGAACAGCTTAAGTACCTTCTTTCCTGGAGACGTTGAGGGTGATCCTGCAATGGAGAGTGTGTGCTGCACACTTACCCTGGGTGCAGAGAGAAGGCCAGCCTTCATTTGTGCTCAAGCACCGGCAGCATGCTCTCCCTTGTGTGTCATAGGCAGGTTTTCCCTGGTTAGCAAGGACCCACGTGTCTGGTGACCTGTCCAGACACCTAATGTGCTTTCAACATTAAATGTCGAACTCAGTTCAGGTGTTTTCATTATGATTCAGGAAGATAAACCTTTTGTGTCTTTGGTTTTTTAAGTTTCATTTTTCTGATAGCTTTTTGTTTTTAAAGCCAGGGCTACACAGAAGAAATAGCCACAGTACCTTTTTGGGAGATGAAGTTCCCTTCCTTTCCTTATTTGTGTCAGTGTTGGTGTGATTCCATTCCTACAGCTTTTCTCCCTTTGGGTCCCTTCTTCCTTCATTCTCTTACCCAAGCCATTGCTTTTTTTACTTTCGTGGGTGACTCCGGGTCTCCTGTGACTACTGGACTCTCTCCTTTATTAAGGTTTTGGATATGCTTCTGTGTGTATATGCGTGCCTTTTCTGTTTCTTGTACCTGTTCGAAAAACGGACCAGAATATAATAATTACTACCAGAGACAAGCATATCTGATTATTAACTGAAAGTGAACATAGATATGTATTCTTATATAATGCCTTTAGATATATATTTATCTAATGGGATGCAGATTTCACCAGTGGTGAGATACATATATATATATATATATATATATATAATTTTTTTAATGTGGTAAAAAAAAATAACTCCACCTACCCTCTTAACAGTTTTTTTTTTTTTTTGGTGCGTAGTACAGAGTGATTTTTTTTAAATTGTGAAAATTGAATTTGAAAAAAATGATTTTGTATATGTGAATTATGGACATGTGAAAGATATGCATATTGTCTCGCTGGTAAATGGTGATGTGTTGGTCACTTTTGGGTGACCTGGAACTAGGGAAAAAATTGCTGACTTGATATAGGAATTGTTAGGCATGATGCAAATATCAGTTCTTCAGGCTAAATAATAAACATATTTCCGTTGTGTTTTAGGTTACACCTCCAGGGGCTCCCCTCTCAGTCCCCAGTCCTCTATAGACAGTGAGCTGAGCACTTCGGAATTGGAAGATGATTCTATCTCCATGGGATATAAGTTACAGGATCTCACTGACGTTCAGATCATGGCTCGTCTCCAAGAAGAAAGTATGTTCTTTTTGAAGTAGAAAACTTCTTAAACTAGAGGCTTCTGCTTGAAATGTAAGGAGGTAGGGAGGCTCGGGCATTTCTCCCCAGGTAATGGGTAAACAGATGCTTTTTTTCATACTCCCCTAGCTTGTAGGTGGGCCAGTTAGTGCTTCTCAGGCTCTCGTGGGCATCGGAAGGTGTTAGAACATACATAATACGTTATATGTAAGACATTGATCAGAATACATTAATATAAAGACATCGTGGTATAGCTACTGTGGAAACCGTTTGTCCGTTTCTTAAAAAACCAACCATGCGATTTCCATAGGCCCCAGCAAGTTGCAGTCTCGGGCACTTCTCCCAGAATAGTGGAAATTTGTGTTCACGCAAATAGCTGTACGTTTGTGGTGCTTTATTCGTAATAGCCCCCAAACTGGCAGGAACTCAGATGCCCTTCAGGCGGTGCATGGTTCATGAGGCTGGGGCGCCCCGTACCCTGGAGTACCACTACTCAGCAGTAAGGAGGAGTGGACTGTTGATGCAGGCAGCATCTTGGATGACTCTTCCAGGAATGATGCTGAGCGAGAAAAGATGATTTCATACTGCCGTAATTCCATTTATATAACATTTGAGAATGAGAAAGTTTTAGAAATGGGAGGACAGATGCGTGGGTGATGGGGGTTAGAGACAGGATGTGGGATCTCGGGAGGGAGGTAGATGTGGTGATGAAAGGGCAGCACAAGGGGTTTTTGTTGTTTTGTGAGTTTTTGGAGTTGTTCAGTATTTTGACACTGGTGGTAGATATTTGATCCTACAGGTGATAAAATGTATAGAACTTAATACTTAACATGTACCTGAGTAAAACTGGGAATATCTAAACAAGATGGGTTTGTATCACAATATCCCAGTTGTCATATCATTCTGTAATTTTGCAAAATGCTACTGTTGCAGGAAACTGGGCAGAGTGCACAAGGAACCTCTGTATTAGTTCTTTGAACTGCATGTAAGTCTATAGTTATCTTTAATATAGGCTCAGTTAAAATGCATTAATAAACTTCTCAGGATAAATAATGGTAGAAGAGAAGATAATTAGAACTGGAACAGCTTATCACTGGTTCTGCAGTAGAGTTAACCAGTCATCTAGGAGTGAACTGCTGCAAGGGTATTACAAGGGCATCAAAATGCACAGTGAGCTGCCGAGCACTGGATGGGGTTAGGCTTGTTCTGGAATTACCTTTTCAGGTCAGCATAAAGTAGAAACAGCCAACTGTCCTTCCATTGAAGCATGACCATTTCCTGCTTTCAGAATTAGTCAGGGGTATTATGAGAAACACTGTCATGCTTACGGAGAGTTTAATAAGATAACATTCTGAGGGGCAAAGTGATGGTTTTATGTTATTATTCAGTAGTAGTAAAATAACAGCGACTTGTTCTGAAAACATGGCTAAACGATTAATATCCTTTCCTTCTTTAAGAAAAATTGTATTGGCAGTGACGTGAATAACTAGACACTTCCAGTCTATTTTTAGACGGTTGTCATTTGGGATGACCCAAAACCATTGAAGTATTGAAGTGTCAGGATGCTTTGAAAAAGATAATATTAGTAACAAATAGAACAGAGAGGCGACCTTGTAAGAGAATATTTTGTACCCCAGGTTTTGAACTTTGCTTTGACTTTGAAAGCTGGGGGTGAGGGACAGGAGGAGTTCCTCCCTGGAAGGAGATGTGATTGTTTTAATTGTCTAACCCATAACATACTATTCATAATGATAATGGGTAGCTTCTCCTAAGTATCTCTCCAGATTTCAGAAGGGATTATTTGGGGGTATTGACAGACACTGACCGATGAACTGTGGCAGTATGTTTAGTCTTCTCTGGAATCGGGGCAGTCTTTTTGTAGAACAGAACAGCCTAGTATTAGACACCTGTTTTGGTGGGTAAACGTATCTGTTTTCTTGGGATTTAATAAACTGAAGAGGATACGGGTCTTCACTTGAACTGTTTGTCTGGAGCACGTTTTTTCTTCCGATACTTGATTGCAACTTGATTTTTGCTAGACTGAAACGTCTCCTGAGGCAATACTGTTCCTTGTTGTCCTAGGTCTCAGGCAAGATTACGCTTCCACCTCAGCATCTGTGTCCAGACATAGCTCCAGTGTGTCACTGAATTCAGGAAAAAAAGGGACGTGTAGCGATCAAGAATATGATCGCTTCAGTCTGGAGGACGAGGAAGAATTTGATCATTTGCCACCACCTCAGCCTCGTCTTCCAAGATGTTCACCTTTCCAAAGAGGCATTCCCCACTCACAGACTTTCTCCAGCATTCGGGAGTGTAGGAGGAGCCCCAGTTCCCAGTATTTTCCTTCAAGTAATTACCAGCAGCAACAGTATTACTCACCTCAAGGCCAAACACCTGATCAGCAACCAAATCGGACCAATGGAGGTAGGTTATGTGTGCCCTTCGGTCTTTAATGTGCTTTGATCTTTCATGTGTGGTTGAGAAATGGTTTTAAGGTCAGTGTAAATAATTAGTAAATGTTTCCCAGATTTATGAAGTATATCTTCAAGACCTGATCAGTTTGGTCTAAGTTTAAATCTAAAATTGCCCAGCATCTGATGATATGTCCCAGATTTACAGACTTACGGCTTCAAAAAACCCCACCATGAAGTAGCCAACACAGAACGGGCTATGCATGGGGGGCGTCTTTGTGCGGCGGCTCGGTCAGGGCAGGACGGGCAGGTGGTGCTGGTGGCGTTCACAGGGGAGCCCCGTGGGGGCCGCCGCACTGAGCTGTGGCTCCTTACCTGGGCCTCACCTCAGTCTCTCCTGGCCCATTCCTGGCACGGAGTGATGCGGGGGAAACATGCCCATCCAGATTTAGGGCACGTTTGGATGTGTCTTGTGACATCTAGAAGAAAGGTCTGTGTAGCAGGAGGGATAAGGAGGCTGATACTTGGCTTGATAATGGGAAGCTGATCTGTCCCAACGTCAACACGGAGGGTCAGAGAACGTGTCATCTCTTTTGTATTTTTTCCTTTCTCCCTCTTTGCCATCTGTCTTTCTTTCCCACTCCAGGACTTACAGTCCTTGACCTCCAACAAACTGTAGGGAGAACAGTCATGTACTCTCCTAAACCTGGTATGCTTTTATACTAATGACCAGCCAGACTTTTCACACACAGATCCCATATAATATGGAGGACAAAACCAGATTTATAATTACAGCATCTAATTATCATATAGCACCATTTCTGGGCCCAGGAGTGATTAAGCAGCTCACTTAAAAGTACTGCAAGGCCAAATACAGATTGTATTTGTGATACCTGTCACCATGTTTTTAGTTTTCACCTTTTCTTCTTCTGTACTTGTATCTTTCATGCTAACTGAGAAATCATTTGAAAATACTGAACGTTTTAGTTGTAATTTCCCTTTTAGGACCTTGAGGTTTCAGATTTGAAAGAAAAAAGTGGCAGCCAAGGAATGTCATAGTAACTCAACTTATTAAAGCTCATCATATCAGAAAAGCAGTGTATTCCATGTGCTTAATGAAAGCCAGCCTTGTTTTAAAATTGAGGAAAAGGGCCCGTAGAACTGTTGCTCTAAAGGTTATTTGTCAGGTGTCTCAGGACACCCCAGCCTAGCTGCCCAGCAGATGCCAGCTCGGCATCTTGAGCCGTGTTGTCAGCAGGTCACTGTCTTACCTTAGAAAAGTGGTTTTACCTTACACGAAACACCACGATGAAAAGGATTAGGTTTCCTGGGAGCTGTGCTATCATGGTTCCTATTAGGAAAGCAGAGACATAACACAGCTTCGTGTCCCGACTGTGGTGGTTTTATTTTTCCTAAAAGCTCTGGTCTCCACGTACAAAGGACAAAGGACAACGGACTACAACGGCAGTCGTCTGGATTGGACTTGTGCCACTTAACTTAGCGGTGAGCGCACGGGTCTGGAGTCCAGTCCCGTCCTCCCACTTCTGCCTTTTACAGGTTTCTTGGGTCTCTAAACTTTGATTTCTTTGACTATAAAATGCGGCCAAATAATACCTTTTTCTTGGAAAACTTAGGTATAATTTCACATCAAACCATCTGGTGCGTATTCTCCCAACCTAAGGAAGAAATGAAACAATGACCATTATTTTGCCTAGAGTAAAATAAAAGTACTGAAAAAAGGGAATAAAGGTTGTCACTCTCCTTTCCCACATGCCTTTTTTTAAAAAAATAGGACTCACTGGGGCACCTGGGTGGCTCAGTCGGTTCTCTGCCCCTGCCCCCCCGCCCCCAGTATATAGATATAACTCAGATAGCTGAGCCTCCATTTGTTACCACAAAATATCATTTGAACAAAATTGTGAAATAAGAATGGTAACTTTGAAACTATCAAATCTTTCTAAATTACCAAAATGATACAGATAGAATTGTTAAATCATTGATTCATTTAAGAATAATTAAAAAGAAACCAGAAATGCATATTTATGTTTATTGCTTCCATAGCTCCTACACTGCCTAGATTCAGAAGAGAGGGCTCTTAAAAGTTATGGGACTGTTTATAGGGGATATAGAATTAAAAGGAGCATATTTGGAATAATTTGCCAGATGTGAAAAATGACTAAATCTTGTAGGATCTTTAGTCAATGTCAAGGGAGTTGATTGGGCAGGGACTGTTGGTGGCATGATGTAAGCACTGTTAGCCCCAGGCCCTCCCTTGTACCCTGTATTGATTGTGGAAGGCCAGATCGGATTGGTGGGTAACCGAGTATCTCCTTTATTGCCAAAGATTCTTTAGTCTGTGTTTCCTAGAGTGGTAAGTCTTGCTGCTACTTTAATAATGGGAAAACTGATTTGAATTCTTTCCTTGGTCTATTCCTCCAGCTTCCCTGCTGAGTTTCAGTACTTGAGGATAAATTACTGGTTTCTTGGGAAGATAGAGTTGTTATTTTTGATTCCTTGAATATTAAAGTATATATGGTCATTAATATGTTCCAGATTGTTTGACAGGAAAGTGTACCTCATTTCCAGATGGTCCCTGACACAGCTTGGAGATCACAGCTTAGCTCCCGGAGGAGTCATGTTCTAAATGTTTACACTTGGAAGCCTTTATTTTTAAGAGCATATTTCAGATTTAAAGCTTTGTGAAACTGACTTGATGCTCACATGAATAAAGATTGGTTTTGAAAGGCAGATGCATCTAGATGAACAGACTAGAAAGCTATCCACCACAACTAAGGTGTGAACCTTGATTGATTGTGGTTTAGGGGGAAAAGCTTATGAAAGACATTCTTAATGTGTGCAAAATTTTGTGTATGGATTGTTAAAAACTGTTGTTAATTTGTTTACATGTCATGACAGTATTGTGATTCGATAGAATTTTCAGATTTAAAATTTAAAGGGAAATAATGGCAGCTAAGGAATGTCATAGTGACTAATTTATTAAAGCTCAAACTATCAGGAAGAAAATGTATTCCGTGGGCTTAATGGAAGTCATGGCATCATACTAAAATTGAGGGGGAGAAGGCAGTTAGCGTTCAAGTGTCAAGATGTCTGCAGCTTTTATGTGGCTTAACAACAGCAAACAAGTGTGTGTATATATGTATATGGAGGTGAATTAATTATGGCAGAATGAAAACTAGTATATCTAGGTGGAAAACGTACAGATGTTTATGATACTACTTTTCAACTAGATACATGAAAACTTTTATGGTAAATAGTTTGGAAACTTAGATGTACAAAAACACAATTCATATTCTAAATAATAGCATATATATCTTTTCCTGTGCCTCCCTTCAGCCTAAATATATATAGTCAAAGTAATTTAGTCTTGCACTGATAGAGGTTCACTTTTCATGCCAGTTATTTATTTATTTGATGGGGTGCGGGGGGGAGAGAAATAGAGAATGCACACGCAGGGGGAGAAGCAGAGGGAGAAGCAGGCTCTCCGCTGAGCAGGGAGCCCAATGCGGGGCTCGATCCCAGGACCCCGGGATTGTGACCTGAGCTGAAGGCAGAGGCTTAACCGACTGAGCCACCCAGGCACCCTTGAAGTTAGGAATTTTAACAAAAATTTGGGAATATGAGACCTGTGGTGGTTAAAAACAGGCCTCAAGGAGATAATGAGGAAAGTGGGCAAGAAATCTAACAGTCACTGGCAGTATCTGAGCATGATTCCTCCAGAAGTGTGCACAGGGAGTGAGGACATGGTGTGGGGTGGTAAGATCTCATCCCGGAGCTCTATGGAAGTCAGCTGGGTCGGATCTCATCCCGGAGCTCTGTGGAAGTCAGCTGGGTCGGATCTCATCCCGGAGCTCTGTGGAAGTCAGCTGGGTCGGATCTCATCCCGGAGCTCTGTGGAAGTCAGCTGGGTCGGATCTCATCCCGGTGGAAGTCAGCTGGGTCGGATCTCATCCCGGAGCTCTGTGGAAGTCAGCTGGGTCGGATCTCATCCCGGAGCTCTGTGGAAGTCAGCTGGGTCGGATCTCATCCCGGAGCTCTATGGAAGTCAGCTGGGTCGGATCTCATCCCGGAGCTCTATGGAAGTCAGCTGGGTCGGTACGATTCTGGTGTCCTGTCCTAGTGCTCTTTACAGTGTCTTGTTATACTTTCTTATGTAAGTGTGCTCACTATGCTTGTTTAATTTTCTGTCTTTCCCCTAGACTACCCCAAGGAGACAGTAATTGCTGGACAGGGCTACAGCCCTGTACCTGTACAGCCGGGTATAAGTAATGTAGAATGAGCATTGCAAAGAGGGCGGAAAAGAAATGAGTTTGGTTTTGGCCTTGGACACATTTTGGATTAGTGTTCAAGTACATCATTTGTACTTGAAAGTGACCACAAACTCGTGTGTCCTGATATGTGTCTCTTAGTGCTTCAGGGCATATACCAGTAAAATTGAAACTATCTTGGTGAGTGAGGCGTGAGTGAAAAGCGTGAGATGTCACAGTGGTTTGTGGTCCTCCGAAGTGCACAATGTTTCAGAGTTTCACGATGCTATTTTCAATATTTAATTTGTTCCATTTGGGAGAAAGAAGATTTAACGTTAAATTTATTTTAGGTTTTCTTCTTAGGCTCGATAATGGAGAAAAGATTGCAAAACCATGGTCTAGATGATAAAAGTCAGGGAGTGTACCTATAGTGCACTCTGGTATCCCCCACATTTCCTAGGGTGCACGGTGAATTCTGGTGTCCCGGTTCGTTCGTTCACTCCGTGAAGTGGGGAAGCGTGGCCAAGGGCGGGGCGGCAGCATGTCACAGGTGCGGAGAATGTGGAGCATTGGGCTCATCTGCCGTGGTAGGCCGGTGGACTGAGGGGCGGGAAGGGCAGGAGCTGATACCTTGAAGGGTCTCCTGTGGGCCACGCCTGGGGGCTTTCAGATGAAGGTGGGAGAGTAACTGGAAGGTTTTAAGCGGGTGACTGGGTGTGTACTTGTGCTCGAGGAAGAGCGGAGCAGGCTGTGTGGAAGGCGGGTCAGAAGAGCAAGACAGGGCGCGTGGAGACCAGTAAGAGGATGCCGTGAAAACGTGGGTGATGACGCCGTCCGAACCGAGGAAGTGGAAGAGCCATTGACCCTTAGGCAGAACTGACAGGACCTGGGGCTGAGGGTGTAGAAGGGAGGTGAATCTGTGGAGATGGCCCCGATTTCTGGATTAGAGGACTTGCTTGCTGGTCGAGGTGCAACCTGCAGGTCTGAGTAGGTGGAGGAGGAGCTGTGTGTAAAGGGGAGGAAGGCACGAATCCAGTTTTGTACTTGAGCGCGGAGTTTTTGCTTAGCGTCCAAATAGATCCTTTGTTTTCTGAGCTTGAGTGAGTGACCTGTTACACGTACTTTAGTTTGGAGCCACCACCCAACCCCCCACCCCGCATTGAAATCACAGCGCCGCACTGAGATCTGTGGCCGGCTCTCTGCTGCCCCTTTGTGGCAGAACACAGACTCAGCAAGGAGAGTGACAACAGAAGCCATCTCTTTTTCAGGTATCCAGAAGTTTAGAGGCATACTCCTAGTTAAAACTTTCCAGAACTTAATGGGGTCATACTGATGTGATGAGTGGGTATCTCGAAACACATCAAGGTAGAATTTTAATCATTCTTTCCATTTTGATATGCTAGCAAAAGATAAAGTAAGTGTTGGATTTGACTGTTCTAGGGTTTTTTTGTTAATTAATATGTAACAGTTTCTAAGTGGCTGTCAGATGATTCTCTAACCTCACTTTGATCCAATTTTATCCACTTACTGTATAGAAACAAATAGCTAATTGGTTAGCTAATCCCTACTTTTTATAGAACACTTTAAAAAAAAATTTATTTGCTAGACCCTTTCTGGAGATAGCGAGTTTGTTCTCCAAACAGAAGGTTAATTCTGTGGTAGCTTGTTACTGTTCATAACGCACATGATGAGTTTTATCTGTTATTGAGCTTACTATCATTTGTTTACTTTTGAAAGCTAGTAATTTAGTTGGCATAAGCCTTATGATTTTTAACTAGAATTTTTTTCTCTTCTAGACAAGCTCCGGAGAAGTATGCCTAATCTAGCTCGGATGCCAGGTACGACTGCTGTCCCTAGCAATGCTGGCTCACCAGTCACCGTGAGAAATAGTCAGAGTTTTGACTCAAGCTTGCATGGAGCCGGAAACGGGATTTCAAGAATACAGTCTTGCAGTAAGTATGACAATTTGTAATTTTTTTTAAGTTTTAGTTGTAACACAATTAGAAAAATAGCTTATTCCAATTTTTTTTTTTGAGGACATAGCAGGAAACTTTTCTCATGACTTTTTTTTAACTTCAGTACAGTTTAGTATTTTCATCAGTGCATATGTTAATGAATTAATAATTAGGAAGTTATATTTAATCTTCTCTATCCAAGGATAGCAGAAGTACTACATGATGATTAATTTGCTCACTCAGCATATAACAAAAATTACGTGTTTTCCTCGCAGATCTGCCTCTTTCTAGCTGTATCTGCCCAATGCCTTCACTCTGAAGAACGCATACTTACTCAGTCTCACTGTCACTTTGCTCTTGTTGTTTACCAGTCCAGAGCTTTGTTCCTCCCAAAAGGAAATTCTGTTTTAGTGTGTCAAGTAGTATCTATCTGCCCCCTTTTCAGCTTACCACACAGTCTGTCGTTCATTCTCCGTACGTTTTACCCAGCAGTGAGCAATGCGGTGAGCATGAAATCTCGTGTTCATGTGTTTTTATTTTGTGTGGGGATGTGGTGGTTCCACTTGTCCCCGTCCCATTCCGACTCATGCTGTTTCTGTGGGTAGTTGGGGTTAAGTCTGAGAACGACCCCTGGGAGGTGGACTGAGGGTCAGAGTCCCAGTAATGATGTGGCCCAAACGTAGGAGGCCCGGTGTGTGTTCAGAGTGGGCTGGCCAACAGTCATCAACCAGATGTCTAAATCGGCACCCAGACTGGTTTGAAGCCCTTTTCCCTCAGATTCCAGTTTTGGGGTTCAAGTGGCATTTTCCCCACACGTGATGGTTTTTCATTTCAAAATGGCAACATTTACTGAGCACGAGGAACTGTGCTAACTCGTTTATATCTATTGTCCGACTCAGTTCTGCCAGCAACCCTATGAGGTGGTTTCTGTCCTTGTTCCCATTTTGCAGATGAGGCAATAGATAAAGTAACAGTTTGCACAGGGCCATGCAGGGAAAAGAATAGAGCTAGAAAACTGTTCTGATGACCCCAGAGTTTGTCTTTAACTACAAACATATTCTGACTCCTGTGTGCCATTCTTTCCCTTTCTTTATGCAGTTGTGTTGCTCTTTACCTTTATCCTACAGCCCAAACACCACATGCCCTTTGAAAAGGCTCCATTGATGACCCTGATAGACCTTCCCATAAACCCCTGAAGCAGATTTGGGATGGATTCAGTTTTTGGTGCTTACCTTTTTTTTCCCCCAATGTGTCGTATTTCATGGTCTTTATATTTATCTTCCATACTAGCTCATATCCCTCTGGGCTTGGGCCCTAGCTTAGCTGATTTTCTGCGCCCTGTACCTGGCACCCTGCCTGGTATTTAGTGAGTTTGAATGCATGAGTAAATGAATGCCACAGGGCCATATCTTAGGCCTTGATCTGTTAATATCGGAATTAACGACTTGTGTAAAGACACAGAAGACAACCTATGGAGTTTGCTAATGGTGGGAAAGGGAGAAATACTATTTCACATGAGGCAGCTGGGGAAATCCGCCAGATAGGTCATGATGAAATTTGACTTAAGTACACAGTTCTCTAGTTGAGTTCAAGAGTCAATAGTTTTCGTGTAGAATGAGAAAGAATGGTTTTGACAGTAGCACATGTGGTAATGATTAGGACTTTTTGGTAACTCTGACTCCATTTGGGTTCATAGCATGTTTTGAGTGCCAGAACAATGTATGGAACCCAAAATAGAATGTCCACAACAGAGTGGCCGGTTTTGATGGACGTGCTCAAAGACTGATGGGGATGTGTCAGAAGTGCCCAGTAACCAAATCTTTGACCACTGAAGCCACCCAAAAAAAGCAATTCGAAAGGATTCTATCCAGTAGAGCAAAATAAATACAGTTCCACATTTAATAGACAAAATACATAAATGGAGAAGGGGAAATTTTTCTTCATAGGAGAATGCCAATTCATCAATGTAAAAAAAAAAAAAAATGTTTGAAAGTCAAGTAGTGTAACAAGATGAGAGAAGAAAAACCCTTCAGAGCACTGCTATGTAAGAGAAGTCAGTCAGACGCTTCTCTCAGATCTAAGGATTCTCTCATTTACTTTTATTCGAAAGCATTCCAAGCAATTCTTCTCTATACAATGTAAGTTTATATCCTGACGATCCCTGGTTCTGGGCCATCTCACTTCCTGGGAAACACAAAGGTAAGGTAACGTTGGAAAGGCAGCGTGATACAGAAGGAGAACCCCTGGGTTTGCAGTAAAAAAAAAAATCTGAGTTTGGGTCTTAATCATAAGTTCTTGGATAAGTTATGTATTCTTTCTGATTCTTGTTATTTGTACAATTGGGATTTTGTCTGTTTCACTCTCATCCGTTTTTCCACTTGTTTTAAAATACTTGAGTGGTTAGAGTATAGACATTGTGTATAGGAGAATTTGTAGGATGCTTTTCTTGAGTAACTTGTGTAATTTCATTTCGAATGATATTGATTGGGACGTCAGTGAATCTGTAGATAAATTTTAGGAGAATGGAATCTTCATGATATTCTTCTAATTCATTAACATGGCACCTCTCTTCATTTAGATCTTCTTCCATGTCTCCCAGCAAAGTGTTTGTAGCTTCTTGTATGGAAGTTTTCTGCACCACAGTTAAATTTATTCCTAAGTATCTGATTTTTTAAATGTTTTTATAGGTAGTGTTCTTTTAAATTTTAGTTTCTGCTTTGCTGATATTTAGAAATAGTTGATTTTTGTATTTTGATCTTGCATCCAGTGACTTTACTGACTTCATTTATGCTGATGGTTATAGAATTTGGAATATACCTTACATAATGAGTGCATATGAACACAAATATATTCAAGAATGTTCACAAAACCCCAAACTGGAAATAACCCAGCCTTTCGTCATCGGGCAAGCAGATTGTGACATTCATACAACCAAATACTACATAGCAGTGCAAACAACATGGTTGAATCTCAAAAACACGATGTTGAGTGAAAGAAGCCCGAGAACGTACTGTGTAATTACATTTATATGAAGTTCAGAGTAGGAATAACCAATCTGTGGTGATAAAGTGAGAATAACTGTTACCATTATGGGAACAGTGAGTGGGAGGGGAATGGGAGCCTTCTGGGGTGCAGGTAATGCTCTGTATCTTGGATGACTGGTGGTTCCACAGTGTGTTCACTTTGAAAATTGAGTGCTAGACTTAAGATTTATATGCTTTATCTGTATTATGTATATAAGATTTATATACTTTATTATGTTTTTCAAAAGAAATTGAATTCACATTGAATTTTTAAATTTAGACTTTTTTCTGAGCAGTTTTAGGCTTGCTGAGCAATGAAGAAGTACAGAGTGCCAACATATCCCTACCTGTCCCTTCCTTCCCTGGTTTCCCCTTTTAACTTCTTGCATTAGTGTGGTGCATTTGTTATACCTGATGCGCCAATGTATTGAAATATTCATGATTGAAAGCTACCTCATTAAGGAATTGTAGAATTGGTTGGAAAGGAACTTAGAGATTATTATTTGTCAACTGACAGAAGTTTTACAGTGTCACAGAAACTTGGTGGGACCAAAACTACGGCAGCATCTTGTGTAGACCTGAGTTTGCATCGAGTGTTGACTTGCTGTACGTGTGCATCAGCATTCCCGTGTACGGATCTCACCTGACGCTTGGGCAACACTAATTTTTTAAGAAAATAATTCAAGAGACATTAAACAACAGACATTTTTTTTTGTCTTTCTCCCTTCTTATTTTATGGTTAAGTTTAAAATCAGTTAAACTGTTTTAGAAAATGTTGGGTGTGTAAGTATACTGATGCAGTTCTTAAGAGTTCTTATCCAGAGAGCTCCCTTCATCTTACAGATTTCGCTATTCTCAAGGTAATAATAGCACTGGTTGAGTGGTTACTAAGTGTGAGGCCCCACTGTAAGGCTTTATGTGGATTAATACTCCTTTACTCTTCCCACCAACCCTAGGAGATCGGTCAGTGCCATGTTCATAACCTACTGATGTCACCTCTGTCTTCCCATCATCCCAGTATTGTCCCCCTGGTTTTATTTTCATGAAACCATCCCCAGCGCAACCATCAGGAACATCCTCATGTCTTCCAAGCAAGCAAGGAAGAAACGGTCCTGTGAGAACTCAGGGATGGTTCTGTTCATTAAAGGAAAGGAAGCTGTTGTTAGGTGTGGCTTCTAGATATAGTTACTCAGAAATGTTGCTGACTGACAGAACGGGAGACGTGTCAAGAATTAGAATTTTCTAGTACTCAGTGCTGTCTGGAACGCACATTTCATTTCTGTCTGTATATTACCTTTCAGACCCTGCTGGTCTAGGGTTAAGGTCCACTTCCTCAGTTGGGTGGCAGTGTAAGTTTTCGTTCTCGTCCCTGTCTTCCTTCCTAGTTCCCTCCCCAGGACAGCTTCAGCACAGAATGCACAGCGTGGGGCATTTCCCAGTGTCCGTGCGGCAGCCTCTGAAAGCCACGGCCTACGTGAGTCCCACTGTGCAGGGCGGCAGCGGCAGCATGCCTTTGTCCAACGGCCTCCAGCCATATTCCAGCACGGGCATCCCCACACCAAACAAAGCGGCCGCTGCGTCCGGGACAGTGGGCCGCAGTGCGCTTCCCAGACCTTCACTGGCAATAAACGGGAGTAACCTGCCTCGAAGCAAAATTGCACAGCCTGTTAGAAGGTAGGAACCTTCGTTCGCTCCACCTCCTCTTTTGTGGCTTGAAATCGGAAACTGCTTGGGAACCAGCCTCCTTTTTGGGGTCTTTGGCACGCTGCCCTTCGTGGCCTGACCTCTGACCTCCTTCTGGAAAGTGCTGGGGCGGGGGGTGTCCCTTCCTCCCTCCTCACTTCACTCCCGATGCGCCATTGCTTGAATTGACCAGGTAAGCTCCGTCTCCAGAGCTTTTGTGTATTTTCCTTTCCCCAGGTTTTTCCCTCCAGGACTTCGCTCAGGTGACCCCTCTGTGCACAAGTGCAGCTCCAGGGGCAGTTGTAGCTCCTTTTTCACCCCCGTCCTCCTTCCCCCTTCTCCCCCAGAGCGTTGATCACCGCCTGAGGGAGTAGAGTCTACTTCCTTACTAGTTTATGGTCTGACTGTCCTCTCTAGAATAGAAGCTTCATGGGGACGGAAGAAGGGAGTGTTCATGAATATAAAACCCCAAGGCTTAGGACTATGCCTAGCACAGGATCAAATGGTAAATATTTGTTGAAGCAATAATTTTATCAAAATAAGCAAACACGTTGGGCAGCTGTACACATGCACACCTGCTCACAGTCTTTTGGAGCTGGGCCTTTGTTAGTTTATGTTGGTAAGTTTAGTAAGGGTCCCGCTGGAATTTTTTTTTCTTTAAAACTTCAGATTAGTTGCAAGGCACATACTAGACAAGTTCGTGGTCATGATGTACCCTTCTTGAACTGGAGATCTTGAAGTGTTCTAGGTCAGTAAGAATTCCATAGCAGTGGCTCCAGGATAGTTTTGGAAGAGGAGACAGTGACCACAGACCACTCCCAACAAGGAACTAGGCTCTGGAGGAGGACGGGGATGGACCATAGTGACAGTGTGGAAAGGGGTGATGCGCGAGCAAGTAGTTCTTCCTTCTTTATGTGTTAATATGTGTAAATATTTTCCGATTAGAAGTAGTAAGTGCTCAGATAAAAAATTCAGAAACTATTAAACACATAAAAGTAAACAAAAATGAGTGAATTCCTAGTCCTGTTACCCAGATAGGAAGCACTTTTTTGCATGTTTAATAAATTCTGGCTTTTTCTCCCCTTATAAATACAGATGTGTGTTATATTCATGGCAAATAGAATCCCAGTATTTGATGGATGTCGGTTATTGTGACCCCTCCATTTGTCCTTGAATAGGTCTCCAAACTAATCTTCTCTAAAGGGAGGACGTTTCCCCAAACTTAGGCAAACAATGGGTATTATTCTTTGCCAGTATCATAGGCACATCTTTATTTGTAAGGTTGCAAATTTCTTCATGTGAATTTGCTGTTTGCATTCAAGGAAGTACCCATTTGTTTTTAGACAAGAGTTTATCTTTTTCTTTCTGGTTTTAAAATACCCTTTGTCCAGGAAGGATATGTTGCAGTACACATGTACACACACCCCCATCCACCCACCCACGCATGGCGGTGTGCTGAGAATGGGGTTTCCAGCCGGTGAGCGCGTGGCTCAGGAAAGTGCTAGTAGCTGCCGGTGCCCGCGCTGCGTGGAGGAGAGCAGATGGGAGTAAGGGCCGGGACCCCTGGGATTGTACTAACCGTCTCTTTCCGTTCCCTCAGTTTCCTTCAGCCTCCAAAGCCTCTGTCTTCGCTCAGCGCTCTGAGGGACGGAAGCTGGAGAGACGGTTGCTACTGATGCGGTTCCTCGCGCCCTTGGAACACGGGAAAGGAGCGGAAATGAGGGTCGAGTTACCTAGCTGGCTAGGTAACCGTGAACGTCGGGATATTCTTTCCCTTCTGCGTTTTAACATATTTACTGCATTGTTTTTTCAACAGACCAAGCGCCAGAGACTAATGATTGCACTTAAATATTTGCCTGAGAGAATACTGCACCAGTCTCAGATCCGTGGTTGCGGTATTGTGACATTTAGATCTAGGGGGTTTTTGTAGAACTGCTATGTACCTGGACACTTTTTGAGAGGATTGAGATGTATCAATAATGCTTTCTTTGCCATGAGTTTTTTTTTTTAAAGTAACTGGTTCAATTTACTTATGTGTTCTAAACATCATCTTCCCATGACATGTTCTGTATCTTAATACATTGCATATTTACAACTAGGTTCTATAATTTATGCTTTGAAGTTTACTTTTTTATAGTTTACAGGAATTTTATTTTTTGTGCCTATTTCTTTTTACACCTCTGTGAACCACTATGGAACAACTTAAATTTTGTGCCATAAAAATATTTTTGTGGTAAGGTACTATTTTTTTAGCTCTAGGGATCTATCAGCAAAAATCCACCATACAATTTGAAAGACCTAATTTTATGTTGAATGAGCACAACATAAGCTGAAGCATTGCAAGGAGGTAGCCAGATAGCAGTTAGATGGTCTTGTCTTTTTGTTAATTTATTGTCATACTTGGGTTTCCGATTTATAAAGGCATCACAGGCTCATTGCACTTAATACCTGCAATGTTTGCTACTGTACCACAATTGATTTTCAATACTTTATTACAGAGGATGAGAAACTGTAATGTTTTGTTAACAATGCTTCTGGAAATGGATGCATTTTAAAGCAAATAAATCTTTTTGATAGACCTTTTACAAAACCCATTTGCACTAATGAATGCTTTCTTATGGTATAGGACTTAATATTTGTTACTGTGTACACTGCTCTTTTGGAATGTTCAGAAATAAAGACTATTTCAGCAATATCAGGTCACGCATGAATGTGCAGCATGAGCAGTATAAACACCATTTCTCTGTTTCACTATCATTGTGAAAGCAGGATACTCACGTTTGTGAAAACTATTTCTCTAGAATACTCCTGATACGAATGGGAGGCTTTGGTTTTGCAGTGAGGTTTAGGTCCCATTTAGAAAAGCCATCGAAATTCAGGTAGCCTCTTGCCCAGAAGTACTTACGGATGAACACTGTCCGTGATTAACAGTTCATGGGGGTCGAATTTGAAGTATTGTCACAATATCAGCAAAATATTATTCTACATTATGTCTGATATATGTTGAAAAAACTTTTCACCTGAAGGTCCTCTGGAAAGGTTAGGCAAAGGCTTTAATGTTAAATATTAAAATAGAAACTTGTATCTAATTCCATCTGGAATGGCTTTTATAGTTAACTTGCTGTGTAAATGAAATGTGAGCTGGAGGAGGTGTGAGATACCAAAGGGAAAGTAATATTTTTTGAGCACTTCTTTAGTGAGGAGAACCGTCCTAGAGATTTCAGGTACTTTTGTCTATTCCAAACCACCTGCTGTTCTCACATTTACATAATAAAGATACTGAGTCCAAGGTAGCAGGTTAACCTTATATAAACATTTAGCTAGTACTGAAGCTGATTTAGGAATCCAGGTTTAGCCAATCTCAAATCTGTTTTCCCCACTGCTGTGCTCTTTTCCTATGAGCACATGTAATTAGTACATTTTCTAAAAAATGGGTTTCTATTCTAAGAAAATTAAAGGATTAAATTCATTTTCAATTTAAATATTTCTACTTTAAAAAAGTCTGTTCAGCTCTTGGGATGATAAAGAGCTCTGTGCCTTGGATTTCACATTCTAGTTGGTGGGAGACACAGTAAACGAACAAGTGAGTGAGTCACGGTATAGATCCCTACTGCTCAGGGAGGGGACAAAAGGTGCTCAAAGTAAGGGCCAGGGGCTCAAAGCGAGAGAAAAATCGAGACCGGGAGAGGTCACACTTTTAAGTCACCTGGCTAGATCTCATTAAGGACTTGACCCTTGCAGACTTGGGAGATGGAGAGTTAGTCCTAAAGTTACTTCATAGACTCTTTCCCCTGGAGTTCTCCAGAACACCAGCAGCTTTGGCATCTCGTGGGAACGTATTAGAAGTGCAGATTCTCAAGCCCCACCCCCCAGACTTAGTGGGTGATTTGAAGAACCTCCTCACAACCGTCCTGCAAAGGCTCAGGACGGAGCAGGCCTGGCGTGCTGGAGGAAGAGCAGAAAGGCCAGTGCGGAATTTCATGTTACTCGGCAAGGGGAGCCGGGCACTGTTCTGAGCGGCAGAGTTCATGATTTGACTTAGGTTTAAATAGCTCACCCTGGCATTTGGGGGAGACTAGACTAGAAGATGGCAGATGTAGATTAAACTATTTCAGTAATCCAAGCAAGAGAGGAGGAATTGGACCAGAAGGATTTCAGTGGGGGTAGTCAAAGTGGCTAGCTTTGGGGTATATTCTGAAAGTGGAGCTGTCAGGATTTCTTTATGGACTGGATCTACTCTGTTCAAAAAGGAAAACAAGCGCTTTGGGCCGGCAAGCAGAGGGACAGAGTTCCACGGGTAAAGATGGGGAGGGCCGTGACCGGCTGAGATCACCAAAGGGAGCCTAGATGGAGACGAGGACTAAGGACTGGGAGCTGGGCACGTGTGCCTTTGCGCTTACGTGAGTTCCTCATCCCAGTAACGGGGCCGCATGCGGGGAAAGACAGCCCAAGAGCTTCGTTTTCGCACATGGAGGGGAGCAATGGTATTGGGTTAACGCAGATTCGAGCAGAACTTCTCTTTGGATTAGCTGTCCCAGTGTAACCAGCTACCGCAAAACTTGGCGGCCTCACCCAACATCTCACAGTTGCCATGGGGCTGGAATCTGGCCACAGCCTAGCCGAGTCCTCTGGCCTAGGGTCCCTCCCCAGGCTGCGGTCATGGGGAGACTGGCCTGGGCAAGAACGCGCTTCCACGCTTACTCACAGGGCTGTTGGCAGGATTCGTTTCCTTGTGTGCCGTCCCCCGTTTCTTCCACACGGACCTCTCCTGGGGCAGCTTCCACACAGTGGCTGGCTTCATCAGGATGAACGAGTGCGAAGTGCGAGAGAGTGAACCAGAAATATGGAAGTTAGTCTCTTGTAACAATCTTGGAAGCAATATCCCATCACTTGGCCATATTCCATTTGTTGGAAGCCAGTCACTAGGTCCAGCCCTCATTCAGGGTGAGGGGATGACACGAGAATGTGAATACCTGGAGACAAGGATCTTACAAGCTGCCTGCCAGACACTGCCTCCAAAACCTCGCCAGCAGCCATACTGGATGATGCCCATGGAATTTCCAAAATGATTAACACTATCTGTATGCCAGCAGTATGAAAATTCCTGTTACTGTACACCCTCAGTATTGTTTGTAGTGTCTCTAACTTTGTGGGCAGGCAGTACTGTGTCACGGTTTCAATTTGCATTTCCTTTTCCTCTAGTTGGGATCGTATACCTTTTCATTGGTTAGATTGAACATCAGCTTATCTTCTGTGGATTCCTTTTCAGGTCTTTTGCCCATTTTTCTGTTGGGATTTTCTGACCGGTTTGTAGGAGCTCTTTATAAAGCCTGCTTGGAGCCTTTTGTCAGTTAGATGTGTCACGTCTTCACGCTGTGTACCTTACCTTTTAATTCTCTGTATGGTGTATTTTGATAGACTTACTAACTTTAATAGGGTACCATTTTCTCCCTTTTTAAGATTAGCCATTTTGTGTCTTATTTAAAGAGTATTTTCCTACCCTAAAATCATGAATTTATTCTGTATTCTCAAAGCTTTATTATTTTGCTTTCCACCTATATTTTTTTATTATCCATGTAGTTCTAATAACACTGAAAACTCCATCCTTGCCCCAGTTTTTCTGTCATAAAGCAAATGCCTTTGTGTCTGTGTGTCTATTTCAACTGTCTATTCTTGCAGAATTCCAGAACGGTACTGTTCTAAACACTGTAGCATTATAATTAGTTTTGCCAAACAGCAAAGCAATCTTGTCATCCTGTTTTCCCTTAGGAGTGTCTTGGTTATTCCTGTCACTTTAGCTTGTTCAAAAATATAGACTTGCAGTCAGTGACATTCCAGAAAAACATCCTGTTGGAATTGCATAGAACTTACTCAGTTTGGGGGAAATTCTTTATAATATTGAATCTTATAATCCCTGAGCATGGTCTGTGTCTTTTATTGATTGAGGTATTCTTTAATCTCTCAGTTGTGCCAAGTTCTCCGTGGAGTGCTTATATAGTCTTTGCCAAATTAATTTCTGGATATTTGGAATTTTTTGCTATTGTAAGGGATATTTTTAAAAATTTCATTCCAGCATTTTGTTTTGAATGTTTTATTCAACAACCATAAGTTTATGTCAGTTATATTTATCATTTGTTACTTACACAGTCAAATGTATGAGAGTGAGTTTTATTTCTTCCTTTCCTGTCCTTCTAACTTTGCTTTTTCTTGACTATGGTCTTCAATGCAATATTAAATACAGATGATAATATTTTTCTTTTTGCTAATTTCAAAAGGAAAGCTTTTTTTGCCATTAACTTTCAAATTTGCTAAGAGCATTTTTAATTGCAAAAGTGAATTTTAATAACCCTTTTCTGCATCTATTAGAATATCTCTTTTAGTCTTAATATGCCAACTTTATGAGAGCTTTTAAAATTGAATCAGTCACGGATTAAAGATAAATCCAAGTTGGTCTGGACATTTCATTTTAAAGATAGATGGATTTGATTTACTAATGTTTAGGATTTTTGTCCAGTTTTTTGAATAAAAATGACCTGTAATCTTTCTTAAGCTATCTCTGTCAGGTTTTGGAATTAAGTTAGTTTAGACTCGTAAGACGAGTTGGGAGGTACTTTCTGTTCTATCTGGATAAATTCATATAATACTGCAATTATTTCTACTTTAAAAAACAGGTGATAAATCTCAGTTGTGAAGCCATTGAAGCCTGGAGTCCAGGTTATGTTTTAAAAATCTGGTGGTGTATCTACTTATTGTACTTGGCAGAAGCATTAGGAGAAAACCTACCTTAGTGGTGGACATCTACATACTCCTCATGGTTCTGTCAAATTTTGCTTCATGTCTTTTGAGGACATAGGATTTGGTGTATACACATGTAGATACGTTTTATCTTCCTCGCAGACTTGAACCTGTTATTGGAACTATTTTTTTTTTTAAATGTCTAGGAATCTATTTTTCTCAGATTAGGTAGCTACATCAGATTTCTTTTAGTGTTTGTAGGATATATTTTTCTTAAACCTTCACTGTCAAACTTATTGTTATGTTTAAACAACATATAGTTCAGTTCTTAACCGAGTATGAAAATCTTTGCCGTTCAGCTTGAGCATTTAAGCCAGTAGTATATAAAATGACTGACATATTTAAATATAAATTTATGAGCTGTTTGTTATATCTGTTAGCTTTCTCTCCTATTGGTTTGAAAATTATACCCTAATGCTCTTTTGCTGTTAGTGGCTACCCGAGGAATTGCAATTTTCATCCTTCACCTATCAAAGAATATTTAATCTTAACTTTTATCATCCTCCTAGGCAACACAAGGACATCCTTGCATCTAATCCAGTATCATACTAGACATTAGCCTCCTGACACACCTAATCTCTGTACCCGCATTTTAAGTTTCAGCCAGGGATTGGGGAGAAATATATGTAGATTGTGGGGCTCTCTGAAATTCAGAGAAAACAGAGTTAGCCATGTAAACAGTGCAACATTGTAAGATTAAAAAATATTTAGAGAAAGGTACACAGACTAATGATGGGACCAAGGGAACGATCAGCAGGTGAAGTCAGAAGTTTCCCAGGTAGTGTCATTATTTTGTCTTAAACCAGGCCCTTAGTTCACTTGCCCAACAAATATTTATTGACAGCCTAGTATTTGTCAGGCTTTGTGCTCGATGCTGAGGACATCACAGTCAATAAATCAGATATGGTCCT